CCTCTCCGAGAATCCGGGAATACACAACCACTTTGGCCCAGTACATATCCTATCTAGGAGCTTTTTGTTCTGCAAGCCACTCATCGACTATCAATTACTGAGGAGATCCTTGCCAAGTTTGGTGGATGAGCGAGGGGTGGTTGGTCGCAGGCTCAATCGTCCTCTTGCTGCAACCAGAGGAAACGGAGACGTTGTTAAACCGATCCGCAACCCAAGCCAGATAGTCAACATGCGACGCCTGGAAAGCCTGATCATGACCGAGCTCAGGATATAAGAGCAGCTCCGCAGGCGACTCGGGGAAGGCCTTGCAAGTTGCATCAAAGTCCTGCTCCATAGTCTCGGCGTAAGTGAGAATATCTTTGGTCCCCTGGACAACCAACATGGGGGCTGCCCACTGGTGTTACGCCGGCTCCGTTGTAGCGCTCTTGCCAGTCAATCACATCGGGGTTGTGTCAGCCAGCTGGTATTCTTGTACAGCTGAGTCTCAGTCAGGCTGCCGTAGATAGTACCGCCGGTCTTGAGACATCCCTGGTTTGACAGAGGAATGCGGCTGGCAACAATATCGCTGACGTAGTCTTCTATCCGGATCGACTTCAAGAGCTTTGATAGAGACTGGAGGAAGTAGACGGATACCACATCTCCTACGGGGCCTCCAGCCGCGCGGCGGAATGACTCGGGATGAGTGACAAGGGCCGAAGCGCAGGCGCAACCGACACTGCACCGATGAATCCGCCAGTGGCCTTTCCAGCCTTTGCTTCTCTCTCGTTGGTGCGCCACGCAGTCAAGCCACCCTCGCTATGTCCAACTACGACCCATTCCTTGGACAGCCGCTCACCAAGGGCTTTGCGAGCTGCCTGGAGGCTGTGGCTGACGTCAGCAGCATGAAGTGCTCCCGATTCGTACATGAAGCCCTGGGAAATGTCACTGCCTTGGCCAGCATAGTCCGGTGCGATGACAGCGTAACCTGCCTGGGCGAGGATGAAGGGCGCTCCCACTCATAGTAGAGTCCTCTATGATTGGTCGGCGCACACTCACGACTGTAGCCCGCGGTTCCGTGGGCCCAGACGACGGTACGGAAGGGCTTATCTTTCCCCTGGGGGTTCGACCATGGGAGCAGGGCGAATGCGGTAAGGGAAGCGGCTTGCCGTCGATATCTTCGCTCATGTAGAAGAAGCGGGAGAGGGACATGCCGGCGGGGACAGTCCAGATCTTGGCGGCTTGGGTGCCCGTGAGGTCTTGCCATTTGACCAAGTCTCCGACGGCATAGTCAGAGAGGTTCGATGGGTTGGCGTAGAAGGGATCGACGTTGACGTCTACATTGACCCAGTCCTTGGTCTCGATAGCGAGTGACGAACGGTACGCAGCTTCGCAGGCCTCATCACAGTTGCTGCGAAAGTCCAAGGCTTGGGCGCTAATTTGAAGTGACGAGATGGCTAACCACCCGAGGGCGAGGGACCGTATAGCCATGTTCATGAAGAAAGGACTTATTCCGAAAAGAGAGGGAGGAGATGAAGACAGATATTGCAGAGATGAAGAGCTCGATGATCTGGAAATTCGAGAAAATCTGGCGTCTGCGAGCTGATCTTTATATCGCCTCAAAAGCAATAGTACCGATGCCGGGGCCGATATCAGATGCCGTATTCTAGTTCAATGAACAACTCCAATGACTAGTATCTACTTAGGTAAGGGTCTGCCCACATTCACCACGACGTTGCGGTTCTGTAAGCGAGATGCTGGGCTCTTGGCGACATGGAATGGAGAAACTCTAAGGACACAGAGGCATACTATCTACTATGGGGCTAAAAGTTCCTTCCAGTCTATGGCCGATACAACTTGATGGAAAGGTTTTCTGGGGAAACTGGTGATGACACCTCATGTTCGTGCCTCGCCTAATTTTTCTTGGCATCTGCTGTTAGTGAATGAGTGAGCCTACCACCAAATTACTAACAGCCGAAAACTCTTCACCTCCCCTTGCCGGAGCCCGCATCCGCGATGGCCTCACAGCCGCCGTCGGGCACCGGACTGATGTCGGCCGACCAAGCCGACCCCGAACCAGGCTCCGGGACACCTCCGGAGCCGAACCCCACCTCAAGAGCTAAGCGACGCCGCGACGCCGAGGCACAGCCGACCCGGCCCAGCCTAACGGGAAGCCAGCTTGATGCCACCACCGACGCCCCTACCTCGGCCGAGGGGCCCGCAGCCTCTACCGCATCTGCTCCGAGCGGATCTGCCACAGGGTCCGTCTTGACAGCCCTTGCAGAAGAAGCTAGACAGTACGAGGCACGGAAAGACGTCTTTCTGACCATTGCACGGTCCGTCGACAGCGTTGTCGCCAGCTTTGACGGTTCTAGAAAGCAGATCGCGAAAGAAGCCACTGCCTATGTCATTCAAACCCTCAAGAGACTGATCAATCACGAGACAAGCCCAATAGCGGCCCGGAGTTGGGCGGCTGTCGTCGCACCGATGGCGGGCAACACCACTGCGGCGACCCGGAGCGGCCAGAGCTGCCAGAGCTCTGCCCGCCCGAAGGCCACACTCCCCGCCGAGGATCAGCCGCAGGCGCAGCCGAAGGAGGACCTCCGCATCTTTGCCCGCGTCCCGGAAGAAAGCTTAGCGGCCGCTCGGAAGATCGCACCGTTCGCCGTACGACAGATCGTCTGTAAGGCCGTTGGCCTGGGGCTAGCGGACCTTCCCCACGTCTACCATATCAGCACAGGTTACTCTCTGAAGCCGCGAAACAAGCAAATACAGGAAAGACTACTTACAAGTAAGGCAAAGCTGGCGGAATGCCTCGGCGCCCACCAAGTCGAGACGCCTATCAAGTGGCACACATACGTTGTGCCGCGATGCCCAACAAAACTACACAGCATTGGCGGGGACGTCCTGGACCCAGCCACACTCGTTGAAGATGAGGTCTTCGCACAGACAGGACAGAAGCCTGTCCTTGCTCGACCGTCCCGCCTTGGGCCCAACCCAGTCACGAACGAAATATCTTGGCTCATATCATTCACATCAGAGGTCACGCCCTTCAGGCTCTTCAACCAAAGCGGCAGATCTCTGCCCATCAAAAAACGAAGGACGCTCATCCGACATGACCCCGGCTGCCAGGGCTACCACGCCAACCGGTTCTGCGGACGACGACCGACTTGCAGCAACTGCGGAAGACCTTCCGACTCACACGAAACGGGACCTTGCATGGCCAGGCCCCAGTGTCCCAACTGCTGCGGCCCCTTCCAAGCCGGCCACACAGACTGCCCAGCGAGGCCCTCGGTCGTAAACGGCGTCGTCTCCCTTCCCGGTCGAAAGGAGCGGGCTCGGATCCGGAAGGCCGGCCAGAAAGCATCGGACACTCTGTACAAGGCTACTCGATCCGACAGTAGCCAGGAGGCGGCAGGCGTCCCTACCTCCACCAGCCAGAACCAGCAACCCGGCGCCAAGCGCGCGCGCACGAGAACGCCCTCCGCAAGCTCGATCGTTTGCCTCGGTGACGGAAGCACTGACAGCAGCAGCATGGATGAAGACGAGGCGGACGAAGGCGAAGGCGAAGACTCCCCCGACAACACCTCCATCGACCGTCCCGTGCTACCCATGCCAAGCAGGAGCCAACGGGCAGCACAGAAGCCAAACTACAACGTCGCGAATGCCTACACCCACCTCGAACTCGACTCGGAGACGTAAGCCGAGAGCGGCGACCCCACGGATGCTACGCGTTGCGCAGGGCAACGTCGGAAAGATCTCCCCGGCGCACACGGCTTTCCTGCAGCTCTGCTGGGAGGCTCAGATAGATGTGGTCCTCGTCCAGGAACCCTGGACGGGCTGGAAGGACGGAAACGTGCAACTGAACACGCACCCGGGTTTCGACTCTTTCGTCCCGGTCGACTTCTGGGACAGCGAAGGAACCAGACCAAGAGTATTGACCTACACACGCAAGGGATAGGGATGACGGTGGAGCAGCAGAGGCCTGTCCACACGAGAGACGTACTGTGGCTGGTGGTCGACAAAACGACGACTAGTCGTCGTTTGTCGACACCAGCCACAGTACGTCTCTCGTGTGGACAGGCCTCTGCTGCTCCACCGTCATCCCTATCCCTTTGCGTGTGTAGGTCAATACTCTTGGTCTGGTTCCTTCGCTGTCCCAGAAGTCGACCGGGACGAAAGAGTCGAAACCCGGGTGCGTGTTCAGTTGCACGTTTCCGTCCTTCCAGCCCGTCCAGGGTTCCTGGACGAGGACCACATCTATCTGAGCCTCCCAGCAGAGCTGCAGGAAAGCCGTGTGCGCCGGGGAGATCTTTCCGACGTTGCCCTGCGCAACGCGTAGCATCCGTGGGGTCGCCGCTCTCGGCTTACGTCTCCGAGTCGAGTTCGAGGTGGGTGTAGGCATTCGCGACGTTGTAGTTTGGCTTCTGTGCTGCCCGTTGGCTCCTGCTTGGCATGGGTAGCACGGGACGGTCGATGGAGGTGTTGTCGGGGGAGTCTTCGCCTTCGCCTTCGTCCGCCTCGTCTTCATCCATGCTGCTGCTGTCAGTGCTTCCGTCACCGAGGCAAACGATCGAGCTTGCGGAGGGCGTTCTCGTGCGCGCGCGCTTGGCGCCGGGTTGCTGGTTCTGGCTGGTGGAGGTAGGGACGCCTGCCGCCTCCTGGCTACTGTCGGATCGAGTAGCCTTGTACAGAGTGTCCGATGCTTTCTGGCCGGCCTTCCGGATCCGAGCCCGCTCCTTTCGACCGGGAAGGGAGACGACGCCGTTTACGACCGAGGGCCTCGCTGGGCAGTCTGTGTGGCCGGCTTGGAAGGGGCCGCAGCAGTTGGACACTGGGGCCTGGCCATGCAAGGTCCCGTTTCGTGTGAGTCGGAAGGTCTTCCGCAGTTGCTGCAAGTCGGTCGTCGTCCGCAGAACCGGTTGGCGTGGTAGCCCTGGCAGCCGGGGTCATGTCGGATGAGCGTCCTTCGTTTTTTGATGGGCAGAGATCTGCCGCTTTGGTTGAAGAGCCTGAAGGGCGTGACCTCTGATGTGAATGATATGAGCCAAGATATTTCGTTCGTGACTGGGTTGGGCCCAAGGCGGGACGGTCGAGCAAGGACAGGCTTCTGTCCTGTCTGTGCGAAGACCTCATCTTCAACGAGTGTGGCTGGGTCCAGGACGTCCCCGCCAATGCTGTGTAGTTTTGTTGGGCATCGCGGCACAACGTATGTGTGCCACTTGATAGGCGTCTCGACTTGGTGGGCGCCGAGGCATTCCGCCAGCTTTGCCTTACTTGTAAGTAGTCTTTCCTGTATTTGCTTGTTTCGCGGCTTCAGAGAGTAACCTGTGCTGATATGGTAGACGTGGGGAAGGTCCGCTAGCCCCAGGCCAACGGCCTTACAGACGATCTGTCGTACGGCGAACGGTGCGATCTTCCGAGCGGCCGCTAAGCTTTCTTCCGGGACGCGGGCAAAGATGCGGAGGTCCTCCTTCGGCTGCGCCTGCGGCTGATCCTCGGCGGGGAGTGTGGCCTTCGGGCGGGCAGAGCTCTGGCAGCTCTGGCCGCTCCGGGTCGCCGCAGTGGTGTTGCCCGCCATCGGTGCGACGACAGCCGCCCAACTCCGGGCCGCTATTGGGCTTGTCTCGTGATTGATCAGTCTCTTGAGGGTTTGAATGACATAGGCAGTGGCTTCTTTCGCGATCTGCTTTCTAGAACCGTCAAAGCTGGCGACAACGCTGTCGACGGACCGTGCAATGGTCAGAAAGACGTCTTTCCGTGCCTCGTACTGTCTAGCTTCTTCTGCAAGGGCTGTCAAGACGGACCCTGTGGCAGATCCGCTCGGAGCAGATGCGGTAGAGGCTGCGGGCCCCTCGGCCGAGGTAGGGGCGTCGGTGGTGGCATCAAGCTGGCTTCCCGTTAGGCTGGGCCGGGTCGGCTGTGCCTCGGCGTCGCGGCGTCGCTTAGCTCTTGAGGTGGGGTTCGGCTCCGGAGGTGTCCCGGAGCCTGGTTCGGGGTCGGCTTGGTCGGCCGACATCAGTCCGGTGCCCGACGGCGGCTGTGAGGCCATCGCGGATGCGGGCTCCGGCAAGGGGAGGTGAAGAGTTTTCGGCTGTTAGTAATTTGGTGGTAGGCTCACTCATTCACTAACAGCAGATGCCAAGAAAAATTAGGCGAGGCACGAACATGAGGTGTCATCACCAGTTTCCCCAGAAAACCTTTTCCATCAAGTTGTATCGGCCATAGACTGGAAGGAACTTTTAGCCCCATAGTAGATAGTATGCCTCTGTGTCCTTAGAGTTTCTCCATTCCATGTCGCCAAGAGCCCAGCATCTCGCTTACAGAACCGCAACGTCGTGGTGAATGTGGGCAGACCCTTACCTAAGTAGATACTAGTCATTGGAGTTGTTCATTGAACTAGAATACGGCATCTGATATCGGCCCCGGCATCGGTACTATTGCTTTGAGGCGATATAAAGATCAGCTCGCAGACGCCAGATTTTCTCGAATTTCCAGATCATCGAGCTCTTCATCTCTGCAATATCTGTCTTCATCTCCTCCCTCTCTTTTCGGAATAAGTCCTTTCTTCATGAACATGGCTATACGGTCCCTCGCCCTCGGGTGGTTAGCCATCTCGTCACTTCAAATTAGCGCCCAAGCCTTGGACTTTCGCAGCAACTGTGATGAGGCCTGCGAAGCTGCGTACCGTTCGTCACTCGCTATCGAGACCAAGGACTGGGTCAATGTAGACGTCAACGTCGATCCCTTCTACGCCAACCCATCGAACCTCTCTGACTATGCCGTCGGAGACTTGGTCAAATGGCAAGACCTCACGGGCACCCAAGCCGCCAAGATCTGGACTGTCCCCGCCGGCATGTCCCTCTCCCGCTTCTTCTACATGAGCGAAGATATCGACGGCAAGCCGCTTCCCGTTACCGCATTCGCCCTGCTCCCATGGTCGAACCCCCAGGGGAAAGATAAGCCCTTCCGTACCGTCGTCTGGGCCCACGGAACCGCGGGCTACAGTCGTGAGTGTGCGCCGACCAATCATAGAGGACTCTACTATGAGTGGGAGGCGCCCTTCATCCTCGCCCAGGCAGGTTACGCTGTCATCGCACCGGACTATGCTGGCCAAGGCAGTGACATTTCCCAGGGCTTCATGTACGAATCGGGAGCACTTCATGCTGCTGACGTCAGCCACAGCCTCCAGGCAGCTCGCAAAGCCCTTGGTGAGCGGCTGTCCAAGGAATGGGTCGTAGTTGGACATAGCGAGGGTGGCTTGACTGCGTGGCGCACCAACGAGAGAGAAGCAAAGGCTGGAAAGGCCACTGGCGGATTCATCGGTGCAGTGTCGGTTGCGCCTGCGCTTCGGCCCTTGTCACTCATCCCCGAGTCATTCCGCCGCGCGGCTGGAGGCCCCGTAGGAGATGTGGTATCCGTCTACTTCCTCCAGTCTCTATCAAAGCTCTTGAAGTCGATCCGGATAGAAGACTACGTCAGCGATATTGTTGCCAGCCGCATTCCTCTGTCAAACCAGGGATGTCTCAAGACCGGCGGTACTATCTACGGCAGCCTGACTGAGACTCAGCTGTACAAGAATACCAGCTGGCTGACACACCCCGATGTGATTGACTGGCAAGAGCGCTACAACGGAGCCGGCGTACACCAGTGGGCAGCCCCCATGTTGGTTGTCCAGGGGACCAAAGATATTCTCACTTACGCCGAGACTATGGAGCAGGACTTTGATGCAACTTGCAAGGCCTTCCCCGAGTCGCCTGCGGAGCTGCTCTTATATCCTGAGCTCGGTCATGATCAGGCTTTCCAGGCGTCGCATGTTGACTATCTGGCTTGGGTTGCGGATCGGTTTAACAACGTCTCCGTTTCCTCTGGTTGCAGCAAGAGGACGATTGAGCCTGCGACCAACCACCCCTCGCTCATCCACCAAACTTGGCAAGGATCTCCTCAGTAATTGATAGTCGATGAGTGGCTTGCAGAACAAAAAGCTCCTAGATAGGATATGTACTGGGCCAAAGTGGTTGTGTATTCCTCGGATTCTCGGAGAGGTCGTGTCTGTTTGCTTCAACGGCCATAGACGTCTAAGATTTCTTTTCTTCTTGTACATATTTTGATCTCGGTCGACACTTCAAACCGACAAACTCTCATGGAACAGGTCATTCCTAGACCATGATGTTACCTTCATAGATGGAGTTCTTCGAAATCAATGAGGTCCCAAATGAAAATAATCGTTTGCTTCCATGAATGACTCCTTTAGAAAACCGGTTTACTATCGTCTTGAATCGTTAGGAAGTAATGACTTGAATTCTGGGTCCATCAACTTTGAGTCGCTAATTGAGCTTATGAAGTTCTCAATTCTGGCTCAAACGCCAAAGCATGAGACTTCCAGTTGGAGGAAGACACTGATAACAGCCAAATGCACCGCGACTGTGGCCCGGGTATGCCTTCGCTGAGGAACGTATGTGACGTGATGCTGATTGTGTCGTTTGACACATCGGCAATTAAATGCAGGCCAAGGTGTCGACACGTTGTACCCGCGAGCACCTGCAGGTACCAGGCCCAGTTGAACCAAGATTCCGGGACTTGGTCTCACGCAAAAGAGCTCCACAGCTCTCGGCAGATCTACAATACTACACCGGGTGAACCGCCATGGTGAGACGAACCGGAAGCTTAATCTGAGTCTTGAGTAGACGCTTGGATCACGAGTTAGAACCTTCTTCCAGACATATCGAGGGTTCCCTGGCTCAAAGGGGCTTCTTGCTCAAGGACACGACAACAGTGGCTTTGTGTTTCCACCAACGTTTTGGGTGATAGCAATGACCAAGTCTATTAATGTGAGTCCCCTGTGACGAAACTTTTGTACACCTCCCTTCATTTGACCGCCTCTTTCCAAAATGGCTCAGGTGGGATGAGGCAAATTAAAGATAACTGTGATGCACATGTCATATGTGTACGTTAACGAGGACACAGCGTAACTTCAGGCATGGGTAGTTGTAGCATGACAGTCTGCATATTTTCAAGCATTCAATGAATGAGACGGCCAGAGCCTTGTCGGAACGTGTCCGTCTACAGGCTCTTTGCTGATGCCCTGTAATGGTTAGTTCTCCCATCTTTCTTGACTAGTATGTCGACTGAGCTGAATTTCCAGCCATTGATGGCACTTCTCTCTGTTGACGAGAACTCGTGGGCTGTAGTGAGCCCCTTAATGGGTCTCAATTTCCGTGTAGATCAAGATAGAGGAGTTTCATCTCGTGGAGAAAGCTTAAATAGAGAGGCTAGCCTCATTCTGGTGCGCAAAGCGTTGAGACGGCATTATGTTGACTCGTGCGTGCGCCAAAGCTGGCTGAATCTGGGTAGAGGAGTTGCAGAAGAATGCGAGACCGAGTCAATTATCTAAAAGTGATAGAATTGACAGTGTGACAATTTGCTGGGCTCGAAGAGTCTATGAGGTATATGATGTAGAGTAGGGCCTCTGCATGGAAAACAGGAGATATTTACAGATTCCCATCGACTTTCCGTTACGACTCTGCAAGATCTAGTCTGGTTGAATACAGAAACACAACTCAATTCCCAGTATGCACTCAATCCCCACAACTGATACTGCACCATATCTGATAATTATCTGTCTAAAGCCATGCAGTTTTTCGGCTTCTCCGGCGCGCTTGGCGCAATATCACTCCTGTTTAGCATCGCCGAGGCAGGGTGCGCTGAAGTTGGCTCCGGCGACGGAAACAACCCACTAAGATGCAAATCATATTCCATCCCGAGAGACATCGGCACTAGCGTCACCGTCGGCTTGCAAACCCTCTCGATCGGCAGAACGAATCCAACCCAAAAGACTTACGAGAAGGAGTTTTTCTTCTACGATATGAAGAACGAGGTCAACTACCAGGTGAACTTTGCTGTGCAGTTTTGGAACCCAACGACCAACAAGGTGAGTAAAAGACAGGTGCCCCTACCCGACCATTGATATCGGGGTGTCCTCGTGGAAATATGTTGAAAACGCGGAATCTACAATACTAACTCTTGACATTACACAGAATGCGTGGAAAACATACAGCTTGGCAGCAGGAGAGAAGTGCAACATCAGCTTTCAATCGACTTTACAAAATGTCAAGCTCACTTGCTAAGGAGCTTTTGTGAGGGTGGGGAGTTCGTTAAGAGTCGTCTGTTGACAACTTCTTGACTTGAGCGTTCAATAT